TGTTATATGGGAAATAGGCGTGGTTGTAGTCCGATTTCGCCCATTTTCGCACTATAACATATACATATATGAAAAGAACGTTAGGCACCGAATTTGGTATAAATCGGTTAAGCAGATCCCAAGATATGGGTATTCACCTAAAAGTGGGCGGTGCCACGCCCACTGACTAATTTTGAACGCGGCTCCTATAAAGTCATCTTATACCATCCCAGAGATAAAATTTGATGTCTCTGGCGTGTTTAGTGCTTGGTTTATCGCGCTTTTAGTAGTTTTTAACAGTACCGTTATATGGGGAGTGGGCGAAGTTGCCATCCCGATTTCGACTATTTTCACACTGTAGGTAGAGGTTCTAAAAACATTTGCTGCCAGTGAATTTTGTTATTATAGAATTAGCGGTTTAGGAGATATGCACATTAAACATATTAGGGGCGGGACCACTCCCACTTTGAAAATAAATTTTTAACTGCAGATGCCCCCCATAATGTGATCCTGTGTACCAAATAACGGCCTTGTATCTTATTGCGGAGCTTAGTTATGGCAATTTATTTCTTTTTGATTAATGGCGTTTTGTGGGCGTGGCAGTAGTCCGATTACGCCCATCTGCAATACCAACCGTCTCATGGTACCAAGAAACATGTCTACCAAGTTTCATAGAGATATCTCAATTTTTACTCAACCTAGAGCTTGCACGGACGGACAGACGGACAGACAGTCACCCTGATTTCAACTTGTCTCTTCATCCTGATCATTTATATATACATAACCCTATATCTAACTCGATTAGTTTTAGGTGATACAAACAACCGTTAGGTGAACAAAACTATTATACTCTGTAGCAACAGGTTGCGAGAGTATAAAAATTAAATTCAATATTTTGTTGGACAGCCGCGTTGGTTTAAAACCCCGCTCAATCGATTTGGCATTGTTCTTACCAACTTATTTGTTTCCTCAGCGGTAATCTGGGACCATTCTTCTTTCATAACACTTCGCAAAGCCACTTTACTTGTTATTGTATGCTGATGAATTATTTTTTCCAACAGATCCTATAGATGCTCAATATTATCAGGTGAGGTGATTGAGGGAGTGTTTTTAGTTGTCTAGGAGCATTGTACAAAAAGTCTAACTATTTCCGCAGTATGCTTCGGGTCATTATCTTGTTAGAACCAAAATGTCGAAGATAATCCAAGATTTTCTGCACTTTGTTTCAAATTGTTTTTTAAAATGCAAAATTTACTCTCATTCGAAAATATTACTTGTCTCCAGAATTCCGGCGACTTATTTATATAATTATGAGCAAATTCAACGCGCTTTCGCCTCTTTACAAGTGAAATATATGGTTTCTTTCGAGCGACTCTACCATGAGACCCAGCTTTATGTAAAATTTTTGTAGCAGTTTCGGCACAAATTGTTTTCTTTAATGGTTATATTTACGTTTTCAATAATCTTTGTGGACATAATTTGAGCGTTCACTTTCAAAATATTTATAATTTTCCGTTCTTCCCGCTTTATTTTTTAATTGTTTACGGCGCTCTGGACAGAAGAATACGTTCTTCCAATAGTTTGCCCAAATTTTCCTAAACTTTCGCCATCTTTTCACAACTTAATGATAATTTTTCTTTCCGACAGACTAATTTCTTTTCATTTGGTTTCCATTTTTTTAAATATTATTAAAACTCGTCACGAGCTCTTTAAACGACTAATTATATTAAAACACAATAGAATCTACGTAAAAAGAACGAACAAATTCATGAGAAGTAACGGTATTCTCAATTCAAGCTAACTGAACGCAGACTTTATGGTGCCTATGTTTACTTGTTCTTACACTAAAATCCCGTTATCACAAATGAAAATAGGAATATACATTTTTGTTTTTGCATTTCGAACTTAAAAATATAAAGAAGAAATATCTACATGCAGACAATTTGAACTGAATTACCTTTTTACATTGTGTTTTACTTCACTTATAAAAATGTGTTTATGTACATACATATGTGGAAACTATTCATTAAACAACGCACTAAGTTTTGGTTCACTTAAATATTTTGCTTTATTTTGTTTTTTTTTTTATTTCGCTTTGTTAACGTTTATCTCATATTATTTAATAATAATTAATATAATTTATAATAATTGAAACACTTCATTAGTATAACAAGTTGTTTTATAACGGATTCGTTTCCGATTATTTAAATGTTTGAATTCTTACTTCAGTCCGCCGGTCGCAGCTGTGCGCTTTGGTTGATGCCTCGCCACTTACTGTCTAGCCATTGTCCTTTTTGTCGTGTTGCTAGTTGTTCTTTCTGTTCATCAGGGTTGTATTTTGTCGTACGTTATTAAATCTGTCCACTACGTGTTCGGTGTTTCGGCTGTATCTTCAGTCCTGACCCGTATTGAGTGCGTTTGATGGTCATTAGTTCATCATCTTCATTCTGCTTCATGGTGTTTATTAAAAGTATGTTTTTCTCTTAATGCATCTTTGCAATGTTATCTTGCACTTGTTAGTTGCACTGTTTCGCGTAAGACGGGAATTCCCTAATCCACCAGAATGTATTGAATACCCGCTACTAATATTTTCAAAGCCAAATTTATAACAGAAATTTCCTAATCTCTAAGTATCAAAAATTCATAATTTCCCTACTGCATATTTTTGTCTATTTATTATAAAACATCCTCGAATTAATTATAATTCATGTTTTAAATAAAATGGTATTCGAACTAAATGCTTTGTGGTTAAAATAAATAAATATGACAGCATCTTAATATTTTATGTAAATATAAAACAGTAAAGTTACCATTTTTATTAGAATTATTTTATGTATACTGGTATCTTATTACATTTAATGTAAATTGAATATTTTTAAGTAACTTAATTTTCTCCTTATTTACAATTTTTCAAAATATTTCTATTATTCTATGCATACATATATGCATATTACGTACAAAAAATAGATAACAGAATTAAAATTTCTGAACATATGGTATATATTCATTTGAAACCAAGCGCTTTTGCTACCATTCAAAAGATTTGAAAGTGAAAAGGAATGCTGAAAAGGGTAGCAGAGAGCTGAAACGAACAAGAACACAAAGCCTTTCGTCTTTCCTCGTCGTCCCCTCGCCCACGCTAAACCGGTTTGTGTTAAAAAAGAGCCCCAATGTAAACACTTAAGATATTTTTTTTTGTGTTATTAAATCATATTTTTTCTCTTAAAAAAATTTACTTTTTTTTCAAATGAATCAATAAACAAAAGCCACAGCGTTCATTTCCATTTTAAAAATAAATAACTTAAACAGAAAAAGTCTTTGCTCATCAACCAGAATATAATAATATCAAGTAATTATAAAAAGTTTAATAGCTGGTGGGATAGCCTCGAAATTTTAGAGCTTCTGCTAGACGTTTAGGCATGGAATGTGCTAATTTTCTCGTATTTCCGGCTCAATTTCCCAGCCGAAGCAGCTGTTTTAGCCAACGAAGAGGACACCTTACGTCATGCCAATCCCTGTGATCCCCGAAAAAGGGATCTCAATTTGGAGATTAGGCATATGGTGAACCAACATAAGCGGACAAAATGAGTAGGACATGTGAAGTCCTCTTCACCGATGTAAGTAAACTTTGGACTACTGTGGAGGCTTTGTCTTATCAGATTCAAATTATCTGGTTGAAATTCAATTCGGTGGCCATGCCTCCTTGAACCCGAAAAAGTGCGCGAGCTATTTCAGCCGGCTATTCACACTGCGTCCTTCGACATACAAGACCCGTCAGCTGCGCAAAATTGGGAGGTTTAGAGTGTCATCAGCAAGGTAAAATCGTCTAAGTCCATTGGCCCTGATGGAATAAACATACTGATGCTAAAACATGTGTGGAAAGTCGCAATAGCGGTACCACTACTGAAACCTAGGAAACCCGCCAAAAAGGGGAGTCTGATTGGGAGCTATTCCCGACATTCACACACCATATGAGTCTAGCAAACCACCAGCATGGCTTCCGAAAAGTGCACAGCACCACCATAGCATTTAGGGTCATAAACGCCCAGATAGTTCATGTCCCAAACCAAAAGCCACCCTGTGAGAGGACGATCCTCGTAACGTTCGATTTGTCAAAAGCTTTTGACGCAGTTAATCACACAATGCTACTTGCGGAGATCGAACAATCCACGCTCGCTCCAGGGTTGAAGAGGTGGACTATGAACTACCTGAGCGGTCAGCACTCAGCCGTACTGTTTGGAGGTCAAAATTCCGAGCTGTGCGGGTCTCGAGGGTGGTATCCTCTCCCCCTACTGTTTAACTTTTATATCACGAGACTCCCTCAACGACCAGAGGGAATTTCCATCACTTCGTACGCTGATGACTGCACGATATTGACGGCTATCTCTCCGATCTTTCTCGCTTCTTCGCTGCAAGGAGCTTAACGCTCTTCCCTACTTAATCCACAGCAACCACAACCCGGACAAAGGAGTACATACTGGATTAAAACATTAGAGTCAATGGCCTTAAAATTCCGAAGGTCAATAACCCAAAATTTTAGATGTTACATTTGATAGCCTGTGTTCTTTCACTCCTCACACAACCGCGATAACCGCCCAAGTAAAGAGCTGGAAGGTCATGAGAAAAAGTCAAAGAAACGTTGTTGGCAACTTACATGGCGATCGGCCAGCCGATGAGCCTTCGCACGACAGTAACCACCTCTTTGTATGCCCAACGAACCCCACTCATCTAAAAGCTTTCTCCATATGGTCCGAACCCGTTGAGATAGCTTGTTTCCTGGGCCTCCCGTTAGATGACTTCGACGACAACCAAAGTGAACCCTACCACCTAAGCGAGGATTAGATAACCGTTACAAAAACAACAACAACGAATCAAGAGAAAATCTTTACGTGATAAGTTTTTTCTGAGGGTTCTGAGCAAAATATGATTTTAGCTCAAATTTCCTACATTAAATTTACAGATATTTAAAACTATATGCTAACTGAGTATGCTTTGTCATAAAGATGTTTATTCTAACTCACTTATAGGATTTCCTTTGCAAAATGGTTGAAATCTGCCACCATTAACGCAATAGTTCAGATGACCTATATTCTCTTCCTGTCCCAAGAAGCCTGCATTGGTGTGAATCACCTGTATAACATTTGCATCATCTATGGATAATTTGAAGATGTGGTTTTTTTTACGTTCAATGAGTGGGCGTGCTGGATCAAGACCTGCAAAAGTTTTTTATGACATCAATGTGCAACAATAAAAATTTACTTACCAATAATACGATGTTGTTTTATCGATAAATGGTTGGAAATCATACCGCAAATGTGGGCACCCAGGGAATGACCAATGCAGGTGATTTTTTCACGAACTGCTCCATTATGCGTGAGGAATGAATAAACCTGAAAGGAATATAAGGCATAATATAGTATAGATGTGGAAAATCCAACTATTTTACTTATACATATGTACTCGATACTCAAGTATTATTTTTCTTTTCGCAAAGATCGTACGATTGCACCCAATAAATATTGCTTGAGGATTCTAGCGATTGGCTCAAATATTTCTTTGTTGTTATGTTTTCCAAATTTTATAGCGATCGTAGCCAATGAAACAAAAATTTCATCACCAAGGTTTGTTGGTAGCTTTAAAGAATTGATAAAGAAAATTAAACATTCCAGTAGGTTCCATAGATTTTAACAGTTTGATTCACTTCACAACACCTACATTATTCATTACATTATATGCTTATGTATGTATATAAAAACGATTAGGATGATCAGTCGAAATCCAGATACATACATATATGTATGTTCATCAGTCAATCCCTATCAGTTATAATTAAAGTAAGAATTGAAATGTTTTGATATTACGGCATTTCTGCTTACAGCTTTAAGCTGACCCTGATGGACACACTCTCTATTTTCTATTGTATGGCGAATTAAATTTTTATAATTTTATTTTAAAAAAGCTCCCTGGGTTTCATCAAGGGACTTTGCATACCATCACCATTCACATGGAGTAAAGTCAGCCGGATGTTTGAAAATCCTGATATTAGTTATATTGGGGCTAAGTGAAGTTTTCGCCCAATTTTATCCATTTAGATACAGGGGTACATTGTTATGAGGAAAACACGCATTGTTATTAAACTCTCGCAACTTGTTGCTACAGAGTATAATAGTTTTGTTCACCTAACGGTTGTTTGTATCACCTAAATCCAGTTAGATATGGGGTTATGTATATATAAATCATCAGGATGAAGAGACGAGTTGAAATCCGGGTGACTGTCTGTCCGTCCGTCCGTCTGTGCAAGCTCTAACTTGAGTAAGAATTGAGATATCTTTATGAAACTTGGTACACATGTTTCTTGGTAGCGTAAGACGGTTGGTATTACAGATAGGCGTAATAGAACCACTGCCACGCCCACAAAACGCCATTAATCAAAAACAATAAAAATTGCCATAACTAAGCTCCACAATAAGATACAAGACTCTTATTTGGTATACAGGATCACATTAGGGAGGGGCTTCTGCAGTTAAAATATTTTTTAGAAGTGGGCGTGGTCCCGCCCCCTAATAAGTTTAATGTGCATATCTCCTATACCACTGAAGCTATAATAACATATGTTTTTAGCATCTCTATCGACGGTGTGAGAATGGGTGAAATCGGGTGACAACCCCGCCCACTCCCCATATAACGGTACTGTCAAAACCAACTAAAAGCGCGATAAATCAAGCACTGAACAAGCCAGAGACATTAAATTTTATCTCTGAGATGGTATAAGATGATTTTATAGGAACCACGTTCAAAATTAGATAGTGGGCGTAGCACCGCCCACTTTTTGGTGAAAACCCATATCTTTGGATCTGTTTAACCGATTTCAACCAACGGTGTATAATATTCTTCTCATATTTCTATGTTATAGTACGAAAATGGGCAAAATCGGATTACAACCACGTATATTTCCCATATAACATCATTTTAAATTTCATCTGATTTTTTCACTTTCCAGTATGCAAATTAAGCAACAATAATTATATCGGCGTAGAACTTGATTGTGATTTTGTGACCAAAAATTATCTAAATTGAACCAAAACTGTTCAAGCCCCTAGGTACTGAATATGTGGACCCCAGTGCCTATAGTAGACTTTTTACGAAAATATCAGTCAATCCACAAAGAAATCTCAAACGAGTATACCATTTGACTTTGCGAGAGCATAAAATGTTCGGTTACATCCGAACTTAGCCCTCATACTAGTTTTCATTGAGATAACTCACATATTGGTCTATATATGTGGTATAAAGTCAAGTAGAAGTTCGAACATCTTTATATTGGGTATATGGGGGCTAATGGAAGTATTGATCCGATGTAATCTATTTTTGACATACAGACAAATTATAAGGAGAGTTTCAATTATATATCTCACATATTGACCGATATTTTTGGCAAAAAATCAACTATAGGCACTGGCATATTTGGTATGGTCTTGAACAGTTCTAGTTCGATTTAGACAATTTTTAGTCATAAGGTGGCACACTTCAAACGCAATATTACTGAGAGGTTTTATCTCGGTAGATTCATTGGTTCTTGATTTGCATACTTGAAAGATGAAAATAGGTGGAATTTAAAACTGTGTTATATGGGAAGTAGGAGTGGTTGTAATCCGATTTCGCACATTTTCGCACTGAATCAAAGAAATGTCAGAGGAATGTTTTATACCGAGGTTAGATGAAACCGGTCCAGCAGCTGCCGAGATATGTGATTTCACCTAAAAGTGGGCGTTGCCACGCCCGTCCTAAAGTTTTGACCCCAGCTTCTATAAAGTCTGTTCTTACCACTTTGGTGGTAAAATTTATTGTCTCTAGCGTACTTAGTTAATGCTTTATCGCGCTTTAAGTAGCTTTTAACAGTGCCGTTGTATGGGGGGTGGGCGGTATTATCATCAGATTTCATTTTCACACTGTCGGTAGGGGTTCTTATTGGAGTTATCCTAACCGGATTTGGTTATGTTAGCTTAAATGGTTTGGGAGATATGTCCATATTTTTAGAGGGCAGAGCCACGCTTATTTTTTCAAGATTTTCAGCCCACAGGTGATCCTTGCTACTACGATCCCTTGGCCAAATTACAGTCCTACATCTTAATTTAGTGCTTAGTTATGACAATTTCGATTATAGCCATTTTGTGGGCGCGGCAGTTGTCCAATTACGCCCATCTAAGAACTCATCTTACTTTTTTGCCAAGGAACATGTGTACCAAGTCTCATTACGATATCTTCACTTTTACTTAAGTTAGAGCGTGCACAGACAGACGGACGGACGGACAGACAGACATCCGGATTTCAATTCGTCCGGTCATCCTGATCATTTATATATACATATAAAGCTCTATATCTATTAGTTTAGTAGATTAGTTTTATGTGATACAAACAACCGTTAGGTGAACAAAACTACGCATTATACTCTGTAGCAACAAGCTTTTTGAAAAAATAATTATTCATTCGCTTATATTATTTTGGGGAGTGCCTTTAGCTCTTTTCATCGATCTTGTAAAACGACGGCCGTTTAGGTTCTCTTTGGTTTTGGTAATAGGAAAAAGTCATACGGAGCCATGTCTAGCGAATATCGAAGGGGGCATTGTTACAGTATTGTTTTTGCCCAAGAGTTCACGAAAAAGCAACGAAGTGTGAGCTTTTAACAAACGAAAATCGCCAAACTCATAAAAACACATCTATCCTTAGCGACTGATACAGGTAAAGTAAGCAATGAAAACAGCTGAAATAAAAACTGACATTGGTGTCTCCGATGCCGCGAAATTTTAAATTTAAAGTTCTCGTTGTTTTCTGGCACACATCTTGCATATTGTAGTCTATCAATTATAATTTGAATATTTATTTGATATATAATAAGGATCTTGATTTTAACTAAATACGATATAATAAACATTCTTAAGATCGTATGTACATAAGCTAAAGTAAAATTTTTTGTATACATGTGTATGTATGTTTATGTATCTTGAGCTGTGAGGTTAGTTACTAATTTAAACATTAATTTATAATTCATTCCTTTGTAACGTTGGAAAACATTTTAATATTGTATTATATTTTCAGTTCATTGCATATATGGATTTATTTATAAGGAAGGGCTAATTTCGGATGTAACCGAACATTTTATACTCTCGCAAAGTCAAATGGTATACTCGTTTGAGATTTCTTTGTGGATTGACTGATATTTTCGGTAAAAGGTCAACTATAGGCACTGGGGTCCACATATTTAGTACCTAGGGGCTTGAACAGTTTTGGTTCGATTTAGACAATTTTTGGTCACATGGTGGCATACTTAAAACGTATTATTCACGCAAAGTTTTACGCCGATATAATCATTGTTGCTTGATATGCAAACTGGAGTGAAGTGAAAGAATCAGATGGAATTGAAAATGGTGTTATATGGGAAATAGGCGTGGTTGTAGTCCGATTTCGCCCATTTTCGTACTATAACATAGAAATATAAGAAGAATATTATGCACCGAATTTGGTTGAAATCGGGTATAAAGATATGGGTTTTCACAAGTCATCTCATACCATCCCAGAGATAAAATTTAATGTCTCTGGCGTGTTTAGTGCTTGATTTATCGCGCTTTTAGTCGTTTTTAACAGTACCGTTATATGGGGAGTGGGCGGAGTTGCCACCCGATTTCAACTATTTTCACACTAGAGGTTATTATAGCATTAGCGGTTTAGGAGATATGCACATTAAAAATATTAGGGGCGGGACCACGCCCACTTTAAAAAAATATTTTAACTGCAGAAACCCCTCCCTAATGTGATCCTTTGTACCAAATAACAGTCTTGTATCTTATTGCGGAGCTTAGTTATGGCAATTTATTTGTTTTTGAATAATGGCGTTTTGTGGGCGTCGCAGTGGTCCGATTACGCCCATCTGCAATACCAACCGTCACACGGTACCCAGAAACATGTCTACCAAGTTTCATAAAGATATCTCAATTTTTACTCAAGTTAGAGCTTGCACGGACGGACGGACGGACGGACAGACAGTCACCCGGATTTCTACTCGTCTCTTCATCCTGATCATTTATATATACATAACCCTAAATCTAACTCGATTAGTTTTAGGTGATACAAACAACCGTTAGGTGAACAAAACTATTATACTCTGTAGCAACAGGTTGCGAGAGTATAAAAATTGGTTTCTTTTTATGAAACATGAATTTGTTCATGCTAAGTGGATTAAGTACCAGAACATATAGATTGGGTCCTATTTAAAAGTGTATGTCAAGAAAAAAATTTACCAACTGGGAGATAACATTATTAAGTGTCTCAGCTGCTTTCTTATCTGCTAGAGAAGTTGCGTATAAGATCTTTTGTAAATAAATTTTCCTGAATCTTTAAACTTCTGACTAATATTTTATTACTGACCTGCGCAGTACATTGGTGTCAAGCGGGTATTTATCAACGCATGTAAGTAGCATGGATAACGTGTTAATGGCGCCAATCGACAGTGATAACATTGAAGTCACGAGATAAGTATGCTGGAAATTATAGGCAAATTGTATTAGAATAATAATTTATTTAAATTTCTTTATTTAATAACAATATAGATCTCACCATCTTTTAAAACTGCAATGCACATCGACTGCGCTACCATTGAACATGCACAATAAATGCAGTTTCGCGATGTGGATTAAAATCTCCTTTGAAGAGAGTTAATGGATTATGTATATTCAGAGTAATCCATGATGAGATGATTTCCTGTAAAATACACAGAACATCATATTTTCCAGTGATAAGAAATGAAAATGATTCATATTTTTAATCCTTTTACGAATTTTAATTTTAAAATTTTATCCCCTTGCTTATATATATCTTATTTTATTTACATATTTAAACATTCTACTGAGTTTATTTACTCTCGCAACCTGTTGCTACAGAGTATAATAGTTTTGTTCACCTAACGGTTGTTTGTATCACCTAAAATTAATCGAGTTAGATATAGGGTTATATATATATAAATGATCAGGATGAAGAGACGAGTTGAAATCCGGGTGACTGTCTTCCGTCCGTCCGTCGTCCGTCCGTCTGTCCGTCTGTCCGTCCGTCCGTCCGTCCGTGCAAGCTCTAACTTGAGTAAAAATTGAGATATCTTTATGAAACTTGGTAGACATGTTTCATGGTACCGTGAAGACGGTTGGTATTGCAGATGGGCGTAATCGGACCACTGCCACGCCACAAAACGCCATTAATCAAAAACAAATAACTTGCCATAACTAAGCTCCGCAATAGATACAAGACTGTTATTTGGTACACAGGATCACATTAGGGAGGGGCATCTGCAGTTAAAATTTTTTTAAAAAGTGGGCGTGGTCCGCCTCTAATAGGTTTAATGTGCATATCTCCTAAACCGCTAATGCCATAATAACAAAATTCACTGGAAGCAAATGTTTTTAGCACTTCTATTGACGGTGTGAAAATAGTTGAAATCGGGTGGCAACTCCGCCCACTCCCCATATAACGGTACTGTCAAAACTATAAAAGCGCGATAAATCAAGCACTAAACTCGCCAGAGACATTAAATTTATCTCTGAGATGGTATAAGATGACTTTATAGGAACCGCGTTCAAATTAGACAGTGGGCGTGGCACAGCCACTTTTAGGTGAAACCCATATCTTGAGATCTGCTTAACCGATTTCAACCAAATTCGTGCATAACGTTATTTTCATGTTTCTATGTCATAGTGCGAAAATGGGCGAAATTGGACTACAACCGCGCCTACTTCCCATATAACACCATTTTAAATTCCATCTGATTCTTTCACTTTCCACTATGCATATCAAGCAACAATGATTATATCGGGGTAAAACTTTGCGTGAATAATGCGATTAAAGTATGCCACCTTGTGGCCAAAAATTGTCTAAATCTAACCAAAACTGTTTAAGCCCTAAGTACTAAATACGTGGACCCCGTGCCTATAGTTGACCTTCTACCGAAAATATCAGTCAATCCACAAAGAAATCTCAAACGAGTATACCATTTGACTTTGCGAGAGTATAAAATGTTCGGTTACATCCGAACTTAGCCCTTCCTTACTTGTTTTCTATTCGCATTTTGGACGAGCATGCCTTATACAAAAATTTGCTCTTGGTACACACGTTTCGTACTCTAAGGAATCAAAACCGTTTAAAACTAAAATTTTGTGTAACAAGTTACAATTGCGAACCTAGTATGATGCTTTAACACAAGCTTTAAAGTTTTCCGCGGCCTATAATATGTTTTAGGTACATATGTCATATACTACTAAAGCTATATTAACCATCTAACTTTCATACTAGAGCTATATTGAAGAGTATTTACAAGTTGTTCAACAGATCGAACCTCGGGGTCTTCGCGCCGAGATCTACGACCTCGAGTATTTCTTATTTGCACAACAGATCGAACCCCAGGGTCTTCGCACCGAAATCTATGTACCCGAGTGTTTTTGTTTTGCTCTTCAGAGCGGATTTGGGGACTTAGACGTCTTGCCCAATGCTGAACAGTATGTAAATTTTGTTCAAAAGACCGTAACTCGAGACTTTCCCGCCTGGTTCTATGTTGATTTGGATTGATAATTTGTTCGAACAGACGTACATCAGAATCTAACCTACGACTAGCGTGACTTACAGTATTTTGTGACTGCTCACTATCTCTATATAAAGAGTTTGCACGAAGAACTCTCATTCGTCTTCTATTCTGAAGACGACTTAGTAATACAGATTTTCTACTTAATCTAGCCATAATTAGTTAATAATAAAGAAATAGGAGGAGATGGCATCAAGTGAAAATTTATTTTTATATTTTCATATTTTACTATATGCTTTGTTGCGGCATCAAGTGAAAATTTATTTTTATATTTTCATATTTTACTATATGCTTTGTTGCGTTCCTTTTTATATTTAAGTATATTATCATAACTAATTTTGAGTTTGAAATTTATTAAAGAAATAAAAATTATATTATCTACTGGGCAAAAGAATTTTTCTGATAGCGTTTCAGTCATAACTGACAATTTTCAGCTATGACGGATTTATGGTCAGCAATGACTCAGAAAAAACAAAACAAACAAACAAAAAGAAAACAATGCTCTTAAGAAAATTATAGAAACTTTGTTCTGCGCGCTGACAAAATTTTTTCAGCTATGACTCACCGACCATCAGATGACCGTCACTGTTTTTGTAGGGTACATAACATATGTAAACAAATAGATGTGTGAACTGTCAATGAAAACTCATCGAAAACACACAATGTCGGTTAGAACGACTTTGGTTCCACAATCCACAAATTGTGTTTTCAAGAGGATTTCAATTCGGTGCGAACATAGTAGTATATAATTCGGTCCGTCCGGGTGTGAAAAGTTGGATCCCAGGTGCTGCTCTCTTTTACTGTAATTGAGTCATTGCTATGACTCCCTTCCTGTTCGGTGTATAGGTACTATGGTATACTGTTGCACATATGTATATGTGTTTGCTCGCCACTGTATATAAAACGGTTTTGCTTGCCACTGTATATAAGAATAGTTTAAACACTATATAACAAATACACTGAAATTAGTTTGAATACAGCACTTTGCTGGTCAAGAAATCTAGTGTAACTGAAACTACAAGCACAGTGTACTGATATTTATTATACCTGTACTCTTGCAACATGTTGCTACAGAGTATAATAGTTTTATTATGGTATATTTTTGTACACACAGCTTACGTACTTTTGTATACCTATATATTACATAGATATTCACTAACATAATATTTAGTTATATTTAGAATTTAGAAATTAGTAGTTTATTTCATTGAATTGAAATTAAGTGCTTGGAAAACTCCTTCGTAAATTGCTTTTATCTAACTCGTTTTTAAAAACAGGGGATCTATGGTACCTGTTGGGTCACCGATTGAGAACCAATGCATATACGGTCATATGTTCTAATACACTATTATATATTCGCTATTTCTTGTTCTCTATTTATTTGCCTAAAATATTCAAAAGCAAGCATTGGAAGTCATTCACTCAATGCAGTTAATAATTGTATTTGCATTGTGTACATAAGTACTTACATATTTATTTGCTTGCTTACTACATTTATGCTACCGCTATGTTTTCGTCCACGCTATTAAATGAATATTTGTTTGTGCCCATTGGCTAGTCCCATTTAACATGTACTAAGCTATAATATGTAAGCAGCCTCTTGCAATGCTGCGTTCCCATTTTTATATTTCTCTTTTTCTTAATAAAATTAATATATTATATACGAAGGAGCAATAGCGTAAAATATGTACTTGGGTTATTCTTCTCTTATGAACTGTTAAAGGTTATAACTTACATACTTATGTATATATACATTAATACAAAACGAAACTATGTATTAACGGTATTGAAATATTGCTTAGAATATTATTTAAGGAGAAGTGTTTGCAAATAAAGTTAGTCTAATAGCTGACCACCATAGCATAATTACTCGGCCCTTTGTATTTTATCGCTGTTACAACTTCGCTTAAACTTTTCGCTTTTTCGATATTTGCGCCGTTACAAAAAGCTTTGTAGCCTTACAGTACCTAGTTGGAAGGTCTGCTCGTGAAGACTAAATTAACGAAATTACATAGAATTAAGTATGGTAACACATATGTAGAGCAGTATGTAGATTTTCTTCTTTCTGTCTTAATATCTAAACTTTTCATAAGCTGCCAACGTTCCTGAAAAAAATGTATTTCTTGAGTTTGCAGTTCAAGTCATGACCTTCATATTAAATGTGATCGAAAATTAAATTATAGACAATAGATTTAAACCGATAAGGTCGCAGTTTATCTATTACCACATAAAACGATCTTTAGTTTGTTTTCTAGAAGATATTTTCCTTTATACAAAGTCCAGCACTCTAAAAAGCTTTTTACATTGTTGTCTAGTATATTTTGTTATAAGTTCAACATGATATATTATCCACTGATTTGTCACCAAATATTAGAAGAATATTTGTATATAGATATCTATATCTATCTCGATTAGTTTTAGGTGATACAAGCAACCGTTTGGTGAACAAAACTCCTGTTGCGAAAGTATAAAATGTTGCGAAATAATTCAACATTTATTATTGATTATTTTTGGTATCTTATTAACTTATGTTATTTATCATAGATTTATTATATTTAGTGTCAATACTATTTTTTTTTCGAAATGTTAACTTTAATTAAAGAAGCTACTTAACTCAAACATGATTTAGTTGATATAAACTGAACCAATGGGTTAGATTTAATATTTGGGGTATATGAGGTTGCTGTTGTACCAGAAGAGCGGAAATCAGTGTATTGGGGTTATAAGGATTAAACAAAGGGTAGACCAATTTCATTCATATGCAGCGAGAAACTACATTATTTTTAAGAAAACTGGCCATTTACTTTCATTAAATTATCAAATCAAAAACAAAAGGAAACGTAATATAATACCCTCCACAGGTGCATTTCTTTTAGTAACTACTATATGTATGACTACATTTGAAAACGTGACTTGCCAACGGTTTGCATCCAACGGAAAGCATTTTTCCAGTTCTTTATAGCCAGGTTCTTTGCTATAAACAATCTTCTATTCGAATTAGGTTAGTTATTGAGGTAAATAGATCTTTCAGACATTTACATAAATTTTAATTTTTTAAGCTGATTGATTATTCACATTAATTAATGGAAAACAAACAAATTATAATATTTATAGAAATTATAAAATATATAACATA